CGGAGAACGTACGGAATTGAACGGCAATTGTCCCTCACCCTCTTCTTGTCCTTTTCAAATTGTTGAATGAAAAAACATCATCAGTTACACTTTTCAAAGCTCATGTTCCGGAGAACGTACGGAATTGAGCGGCAATTGTCCCTCACCCTCTTCTTGTCCTTTTTTTTTTTTGGGTATGACCTCACCTTCTTCTTGTCCCAACTTTGATAGCGACAACTTAACAACCCCACAGAAAGTTGTCAAATTACCAAGTCCATCGAGAGAAGCTGAAAGCTGCCTTTCAAAATTTTATAATCCCAAAGAATTAAAATTGGATACTACGCTACCCAAAGATTTTGACCTTGAAGGATCGCGTTTTTAAATTGTGTGTTTGAGTCCTATAAGGTTTTTTTTTTTTTCACTCTCTATTTATTTAAATAATATGTATTAATTTTAATCTATTAAAAGTAATTAAAATTGGATGAATCATTTGTGATGGAATGAAAACTGTAGATATAGCCATCATCATCGTCAACAATTTTTTAAATATATTATTTTTTGATTATAGAGTACAGAGACTTAAAAATTAAAATAATATATTAATATGGGGATTGAATTTTATCATGAGAGGTAAGTACGTGGACTTTTCATTTTTTATCTTTATTAATAAATTACAAGTTTTAATTAATTTCAATTACCACAAAAATCAAGAATCTATAAAGTCAAAACCCTCCCTTTTAATTCAAAAGGCTTCTAATATACGCTATGAAAATCGAAGAAGAAAGATATGGACTTTCTCGCTTCCGCCATCATCAATTCCGCTACCTTTCTCATGCATGGGTGACCAGGTCAGACTCAGACTTCGACTATATCTTCTCATTTTCATTTCATGTTCCAAAACCGCTCCTCTCGTCCCTACAATTCTGCCTTTCTATACGGTAATGTTTTGTTTTCTTGTTATCTTCCCAAACCCCCTTGCTATTTCGTTTGCAATTATATATAGCAATGCTTCATTGTCTCTTTAGCTGTCTGTCTCACACTGAAATTTTGCATTTATCTGAACGAATGCAAACTAAAGTTGTTTTCTTTTCCCGATGCAAAAAAAGGGGTTAAATTTTCAGTCTTCGTTGCTTTCTCCTTATGCTGAAAGACAGACTCCCATTTCTGGTTCTGTGTAGTGATCAGAGATGCTTCAAAACTCTAGTGAACTCTGCTATCTTGAGATGTCCAAAACAAAACTCTGTGTCTTTCTGGGCTGCTTCCTTTTGTCTTCAGCGCTTGTTGGAGCACAGAGTCCCATAACTCATCCAGATGAAGGTAGCTTTATTTTTTTGTGTTTTGATTCAATAGTAGAGACCACAAGGTGATTTTGCTTGAGCTTCTGCCATTTGTCCTCTCGCAGTTTTATTTTCAGAGAATGCCTAAGAGTTTACATTAATTGTGCCTTAAGAATAGGACTATATTTAAGTATTTTTTGAGAGATGTGATGCATACGTGCAAACACTACCAAGCATATATAGTTTCCTTTGCTCCATTCTTTTTAAAGTCTAGTAGTAGCTTGCACTTTAATCTTGTGGGGTTTGATTTACTCTTTCATATTCCAAAATCGGAACGTTCTTTTGGATGAATTAATTAATGTTAGTTACAATTTGCAGTGAGCGCATTGCGAACCATCAAGAGAAGTTTGACAGATCCCAATAAAAATTTGACTAGTTGGAATCGAGGAGATCCATGCACATCCAATTGGACTGGAGTTTTATGCTTTCATACGACCCTAGATGATGGCTATCTGCATGTCAGAGAATTGTAAGCTTTAGTTGTCAATTTCGTTCTGCAAGGTTATGGACAAATTACCCATCACTAC